GACTTACATTGCTCGGTCAACAGACCTAGCTGTATACACAGCTTTTGGCTAAGTACTTAAACATAATATCTCTTCAGATTGTCAGTGTTCCATGTACGCGGAATGGGTCGGCCGTTCATGGCTTCAAGACGGTAAGTCCCATCTCGGACCTCTTCCCTGACTCGATACCGCCCCTCCCAATTTGGGGTCAGCTTCCCATCCTCATTTTCTCGTCCCACAACCTCCATCTTCCTTAGGACCAGATCTCCCAAGTTTATCGGCCACTTTGACACTCGGCGATTGTACGCCCTTGTCATCCGTAGATGATAGATTTCGTGTCTAAGTGCCGCGTTGCCCCTAGCTTCAGGAAGGAAATCTAGGGCGGTCTTCATGGCTTCCTAATTGGCTGCTTCATCATATAGCATCACCCTAAGGGTGGGCTCATACATTTCAATTGGAAGGGCCGCCTCGGCACCATAGACTAAGATGAAGGGAGTTTCTCCTGTGGAACTCTTGGCCGTGGTTCGTATGGACCACAACACATTGACTAACTCATCAGCCCATAAGCCGCCTGCTCTTTCAAGCTTGCGCTTAATTCCATTGGAGATCAATTTGTTGTATGCCTCTACCTGACCATTTGCTTGCGGTCGGCCGACTGAAGCAAAGCAGTGAGCTATGCCTTGGTCTTCCAACCATTCTTTTAGTTGAGGCGTTTCGAACTGTGGTCTTGATAGGCCGTCGTCGAGCCTACCAAAGATAAAGTCCTATCTTAGTCTCACTAGCTAATAGAAAGGGTGAGAAAGGGTCGAACCCAAGAGAGGCGTTGAATCAACCACCGAAATACTACCGCATAAATAAGCTAAATGAAGTCGAAATTGGTTTGGTTTTATGTAACAAGTGCTAGTTCAAGTCAACTAAAGCTAGGGGGAGATTAACAATATTTAGAGAGTTCTAGGGCTTGGGATATACCACTCAATTTCGTCACAAATCACAATTAGCAAGTAGCAAACAACGGTAAATAAAGGGGATAATATAGGGGAAGTCATCTAAAGCACCCAACTACTCTCTCAAGCTAGAGGGATTACTCGAATTATGAATACAACCTACTCTCGTGGTTAAAAAGCATAAAACTAGTATTAAAGCATAATCACGATGACAAAAACATTCCCTTGACTGGAAATTCCTATTCTCATGGTATTTCAAGTCAATTAAGCATAAGGGAGCTAACTCAAGTTCATCTGTCGATCCTTCGTTGAGAAAGCTTAGATAATAGTTCTAGCAATGGCCATATACAAGAACTAAGCAATTAAACCACTTAAGCTCAACTAATTAACACCGAACAATTACCAAATTAACACATGCAACAAGTAATTAGTGACTACATTGAGGGTTTTACCCAAACCCTAGAAAATTAGACTACTCACAATCCATGGAGATTAAAGCAATTAAGGATTTCAAGTAACTCATGAACAAGAGTTAACCAAAAATTAAGCTAAATAACAATCTAAGCATACAAGAATTAAGCAAGATGATTAACAATCAAAGCAATTAAAATGGAAGAGAAGAGTGAGAAAATGTTACTAGAAGCTTCAACTTGAATATCAATGGTGGAACTTGTCCTCTACAATGATTGAGAATCAAATTTCCAAGCTAATAATTATAATCTAGCTAATGATTTGAGAATATTTGTGTTTCTACAATTGCAAACTAAGAAGAGGCACTAAAAACATGGATTCCGTACAAATGAGCTTCCAAGGTTATTTATAAAGACCCCCAAATAAAAAGGACGGAGAAAACAAGAGTCGGGCACGGCTACAGGTCAGCACGGGCGTGCTGAGGTTGGCACGGACGTGCTGCTATACCTGCACGGACGTGCTGAGATTGGCACGGGCGTGCACCTGGGAGGCAGAAGGTACTGTTTTAGTCAGGGTATCCTGCATTGACGTGCCGATATTGGCACGGGCGTGCACCTGGGAGGCAGAAGGTACTGTTTTGGCTGAGCAACCTGCACGGACGTGCAGGATCATGCATGGACGTGTTGAATAACCTGCACGGGCATGCTGAGTTCTGCACGGACGTGCAGGCCTTGAAAGCAGTAGGCAGTAGCTTCTGGTCGTGCTGGAACTCTTCTGCACGGGTGTGCCATACTTTGCACATCCGTGCAGACTCTCTAAGGCCTTTATCTTCACTTTTCTTTGGTTTTGCTCCATTGTTTCGGCTTCTAACCTCGGTTTATCATCCAAATGCCTCAAATGGTCGCCTTTGAACCTAAAAACCCAACAAAAATACTAACAACCCGTGAAGCAAGGGATACACAAAAGTTGAACAAAAATACAGTAAAAGTGAACCAAAATGCCAATATACCAAGTAAACAAGGTTCGAAATCACTCTAAAATCGTATCAAATAACAAGTTATCAGGTCCGTTGTCAAACACCATAAACTGAGGAACGCCAAAGTGTGTAATGATACTCTTCCATATGAAGGCGGAAACATCCGTCCATTTGATGCCCTGGACGGCCTCGGCCTCTACCCATTTTGTGAAGTAATCTACTGCTACAAACACATACCGCCTTTGGCCGGACGCTGGTGTGTATGGTCCTAAAATGTCCATCCCCCATTTGGCAAAGGGGAGTGGACTACTGATGGCCGAAAGACTGTTGGCGGGTCGGTGAATTAATGTTGCGAACCTCTGGCGCTTGTCACACTTCTTTACCATTTCCATTGCATCCGAATTTAAGCTCGACCAGTAGTAACCCAGGCGGGCAGCCTTTTCAGCCAAAGCTCGTCCTCCAATGTGAGAACCGCACTGCCCCTGGTGAAGATCATCCAAGACATCATGCCCTTTCTCAGGAGTGATGCATTTCAGGTACGACTTTACAAATGCCTTTTTGAAAAACTCTCCTTGCTTAATTTCAAATAAGGCCGCTCTCTTTTTCATCAGCCAGCTCTCTTTAGGATCGGCCGGGAGTAATCCGTCCTTTAGGTAAGATATGATCCCGTCCATCCAAGTGGAGCTTCTATCAATGGCATGTACTGGTTCAACGTCAATACTCCTCTTTTCTTTACTTCCCAAAACACTGACCTGGGAGTATCACATGATGCTGAGGATGCTAGCTTAGAGAGGGCGTCCGCTTGATGATTGGACGAACGAGGGACCTTCTGTAGAGTAAAATGATCTAGGCTCTTAGCCTCCTCTTTTACAATCTTCAAGTATTTTATCATGGTCGGCTCCCTCGCCTCGAAGTCTCCATGCACCTGGCCGACTACAAGTAGGGAGTCCGAGCATACATCAATTTTTTTCGCTCCTGCCGCCTTACACATTCTTAGGCCGGCCAAGAGGGCTTTGTACTCGGCCTCGTTATTAGAGGCTTGAAACTAAAATCTCAGGGCGTACTCAAACTTATCTCCCTTAGGAGACTGGCATATAACACCTGCACCGCATCCAGTAGCTGTCGCGCTACCATCCACAAACACTTTCCAGATTTGATCTCCGGCCGTCTGAAGATCTGGCTGAGTCATTTCAGCTAAAAAATCAGCAAAGGCTTGCCCCTTGATTGCTTTTCTTGGCTCAAATGTAATATCTAAGCCTCTCATTTCCAAGGCCCATTTAAGCATACGACCGCTTGCCTCTAGAGTTGTAAATGGCTTCTTCAAAGGTTGGTCTGTGTAGACCACAATTGAATGTGCCAAGAAGTATGGCCGCAGCTTTTTCGATGCCATGTATAATGCCAAGCCAAATATTTCAATGGGGGGATACCTTAGCTCAGCGTTATGTAGCACGTGGCTAATAAAGTAGACAAGGATCTGGCGGCCGTCCCGTTCAGCAAGTAGGACGACACTTAAGGAGTGTTCAAAGATGGCAAGATAGATGAATAGCTTCTTGCTCTTAACTGGACTGACAAGCCGAGGCAATGTATGTAGATGGCCTTTTAGCTGTACGAAGACTTCCTCGGCCTCCTATGTCCACTCAAACATAGCTTTCTTCTTTATGGTTTGAAAGAAATAGCGGCACTTATCCCCTGATCTTGACAGAAATCTACTAAGTGCGGCCAAACAGCCGGTCAATCTTTGGACTTCTTTTATTGTCCTTGGTGACTTCATGTCCATGACGGCTTTGATTTTTTCAGGGTTGGCCTCAATTCCACGCTGATCAATTAAAAATCCGAGAAATTTACCGGACTCAACACCAAAGACACATTTCTTTGGATTTAACATCATCTTATGCCGCCTGAGTTCGGTAAAAGTTTCTCGTAGATCCTTCAAATGGTCGGCCGGCTCTTTTGACTTGACAATCATGTCATCAATGTACGCCTCCATATTCCGGCCGAGCTGATCTCTATAGACTGTATTAACAAGTCGTTGAAAGGTAGCTGGGGCATTCTTAAGGCCGAATGACATAACTTTGTAACAATACAACCCCTGCTCAGTCACGAATGCTGTTTTCTCGTGGTCTTCTTCCCATAATGGAATTTGATGGAATCCGGAGTATGCGTCCATAAAACTCATCAGGGCATGCCCAACCATCGAATCAACCAGGCGGTTGATTTTGGGGTAGGGGAAAGCTATCCTTAGGGCATGCCTTGTTTAGATCGGTGTAATCCACACACATTCTCCAAGTTCCATTCGGCTTCTTCACAAGGACCACATTAGCCACCCATTCTGGGTAATAACTTTGCCGAATGAAACCGGAGTCCAAAAGCTTTTTAACTTCTGCTGCGGCCGCCTGATTCCTCTCTTCTCAATGATTCCTTTTCTTCTGGTGGACAGGTTTAACGGCCGGGTTTACATCCAATTTATGCACGGCCAGGTCAGGGCTTATACCTGGCATCTCGCCGGCATCAAATGCAAATATATCCTTGAACTCTCTCAATAATTGAATTAACTCATCCCCAAGCACACCCAAAGCTATAGTGCCCACACTAACCGTCCGACCTGGTTGATCGGGGTCAAGCACTATATCTTGGTGGCTGCCGGCCGGCCGAGGTCGTAAGTCCTCTGGCCGACCGACAGTCATTAATTGCTATGCTTGCTCTATCTTGGCTGCCTTACGCTTCTGGCCGACCTGCTGTGTTGGGAGTGAGGTTCCTTCTTCTTTTGGCTCGGACGATTTTGGTCCGCGCGTTGTAGGCTTAACTGCCAACTGATTACATTCTTTTGCCATCTTCTGACTTCCTTGGATTGTGCCTATTTTCCCGTCCGTCCTCTCAAACTTTAGCAGCATTAGGTGAGGCACAATGACTGCTTTTTCTGCATTAAGTGTAGGACGACCGAGTATGACATTATATCCAGTCAGTTCTTTCACAACCAAGAAGCGGACAACCATATCTCTTCCTTCCCCTTTTTGCCCAAATCGGACAGGTAAGTCTATTCGCCCCACTGGGTGAATGACATTCCCCCCAAATCCAACCAACGGGTGAGTGATGTCCTGGAGAGCATCCTCTGGGAAGCTTAGATTCTTCAAGGCGGCCAGGCTGATGATATCAGCCGCGCTACCCGTGTCAATCAATATTCGTCCGACCTTCAAGTTGGCTATCTTCATAATGAATACCATGGGATCATTGTGCAAGGCTTTGACCTCCCCCCGATCGGCTTCACTGATGATTACTTCGGGGAAAGGTTCGGCCTTCACTGAGTCCATTTGCATCACCTTACCTAGGTTGCGGGTGTCCTGCTTGATCCCTCTCATAGTGGGGCCACCTGAGGCAAATCCTCCTGATATCACAGCCACAAAACCTGAATCAGTGATGTTGCCGTCATCTTCCTTATCTTTGTTCTTATCGTTCTTCTGTCTTTGCTCGGACGTGTTGTTTATCCGTGTGTAAGTGAATTTGGACTTCATCACACACGAATTTAGCATGCCCTTCTCAGCTAGCTTGTCCAGCAGTCTCTTCAAATTGATGCAATCGTTCGTGTCATGTCCCACATCCTTGTGGTAATGACAATACTTGTTCTTGTTCCTATACTGAGTCGGGCCTCTCAGCGGCTGTGGCTTCTCAAATTCAAACTTATCCTTGATTTCCATCAGGATAGAATAGCAATCCTTATTGAATTCAAACTGAGGCTCGTACGCCTTGACCTTCTTGGACTTCTGTGGCTGGGCATCAGCCACCCAGACTTTTTTTCTCTTTTTTCCTTCTTTCTTTTGGCCGGCGGAGTCTTGCTGAGAAGGTTTTTTCTCAGCCCCCTTGGCCGACGCTTCCATTTTTGTGAGCGAACAAAAGTCCGTCGCCTTAATGTAAGCTTCGGCTTCCCACAGAACACCTGCGTATGTCCGAATCTTTTTCCTTACCAAGTCAAATTTAAAACCATTGTGCCTTAATCCTCGGAGAAATTCAGAGTAAGCCATTTCGTCCGGCAGATTATGAATTTGGGCTTTTTCTTGATTAAATCGTTGGACGTACGAGCGTAAGCCCTCATTTTTTCCTTGGACGATTGTCGCCAAGTTGAGGCTAGTCTTTCGAGGCGGTATGTTGTATGAAAAATTTCCCACGAACAACAAACTAAGAGTAGTAAAACAATTTATACATCCGCCCGACAAACTGTTGAACCAATCCTGCGGGAAACATTTGCACCAAGTAGCGTCATCTACGCTTTGCAAGTACATCAGATTCCTGTACGAGGTGATGTGTTCTTCTGGGTTGCCCGTGCCATCATAGGCTCCCACAAGTACACTCTTCACCTTTGGTGGCTGAGAGGCATTTAAGATATCTTGCGAAAACGGGGGCAGCTTATCTCCCAGGGTAAGTAGGTGCATCTGCCAATCGATGGGTTGCGGTTGCACGGACGGTCCAGCCAGATAGGGAGCCTGTCCGTAAACTTGTTTGTATGGCCCATATTGTCCGTATGCCTGGGGGTTTGGCTGAATCAAGCCATTGAACCCCTGAGGAGGCTGATATTGCAGTGATTGGGCTATAATAGGAGTTGGAGCATGAAAGACTGGAATAGGAGTTGGGGTGCGGACCGCCTGACTTCCGCTGGTGGTGGCCGTGTTGGTATGTTGGGAAAGAGAATGATGTGAGAAATCATCCGGCATAGTTGGGGTTGAGGCCGTGTCTGAGTAGGCGGCGCGCTCCCGCTGCTTATGCCGAAGGTAATCTCTTGCGTCCTTCTATCGTCTGGACGGCTCAGGCTCCTCTCTTTGAGGCTGTCTACCCCTCCCCCCAGCCGACTGCGTTTTCGCCAGCAAGTCAGAGAAATTAGTCCGTGGCACTCTCGGGAACCTTCTAGTCGGCCTTCGAAAAGGAGTGTTTCCAGCGTCCGTTGCATGGACCGCTTTGCTGTGCGTCTTCTTTGGAGCCCTTTACTCCTCTCTCCTGGGCGGTTGCCTAGAGGTAGAGGATCCATTGTTTTCAATCTCTTTTCTGAGTTTGTTAAGCGCGGCCTTAAGAGAGGCTGCGGTAACAGGAGGGTCATCAGCTTCTTGAAATGTGGCTATCAGAGGATCGCTAGTACGGATTGTAGGAATTAAATCCTCTACATGTCCATCCTCTCCTGGATTAGGTGTCTGACCGTCTATCACCATAGCGTACGAGTATCCCCACAGACGGCGCCAAATGTTTCGGGTGATTTTTGGATTTCCTCGGATACTGGTAACGCTCTCCTGGCAACGAGACGGTCCCACCTGCAAAATAACGAATATTCCGGTAAACGGAATATTCTCCTCCGACGATCAAGTTAGTGATCAAAACGGAAAAGGCTAGAGAGAGAAAATGTAGAGAGAAGTTGGAGCTTTTTAATGCTATGTTGTGTATATCAATATCTTGAAAGAATCCCCCCCATCATAAATGATTGGGGTATTTATAGGGGTGGGGCTCGTGCCCCTTTTTAGGGTTTGTACCCTAGATTGGCGTGGCGTGATTGGCTGCGCAATCAGTGAATGCCACGTGTTGCCCTGGGGGCGCCGTTTTACGGCTTTCATTGGTATCTCTCGGGATTTGGGCCCTGACATTGTTAGGGCATTTTGGTGTGCTGATTAAAGAGGGAACACATGCCCTAAACACATGGCATCTTCTCTTGACGACACGTGTCACCCTCTGACTGGGCCACGTGTCGCTACGAGATTGGCCTGAGACCTTAAGGGCTCTGAATTGCGTGGCATCCTCCCATGGTGACACGTGTCACCCTATAACTGGGCCACGTGTCACTATGGGATTGGTCCACGTATACGAGGTATTTTTACCTTTATATTTTACTAAGGGCATGTTTACTTTTACTGAACTAAGCTGAACTTAATTGAACTTATTGGAGCTGAAATGAATATTTTATGAGAGAAGGAAATTAAGAGCTGAACTGAATTGAACTAAACTGATTGGAGTTGAATTAAACTAATTGGGCTGAACTGAAATCAAGTAAATGTGAACATGCCCTAATGAGCCAAATATGTTCATAAATTGCTCAAGACTCGATCGGCTCAATGCTCGGCATAAGCTCGGCTAGAGTGAGCTCGACTAGAGCTCGGATTTGACTCAAGATCTTAACGACTCGTTGAGCGAGTTATCATTAGATCGGCTTGTAAGCTCGCATCGTGAGCAAGCTCGAGAGTTTTTTCAAAAATATTTTTAATTAATTAATTTTTAACGTAAACTTTTCTTCATTTTTAACATGTTGGGACAACAAATATTAATCTTCAAAACTTTAGTGTTCTCGTTAAATGTTGGAGCTTTCATTGATGATTTTTGTTATTTAAATTGAATAACTAAAAAAGAAGAAGAAGAGAAAAAAGTAGTCCTACATTGAAAGTTAGGAGCAAGTGATAGAATATGAGAGGTATAAAAGAAAACTTTTATTGTTTTAGATACAACTTTTGAGGCCCGGGCAATGCCCCGGGTTATTTTTTTTATATATATAAGAAACTATAGTAAATTGTTTTAAAAAAAACCTTTAATAGATTAAAGGGAAATCTATTGATGGTTTTATAATATTTAAAAAAAAATCATTTTTTTATAAGTTTTATTGAACATTAACAAAATTCATTATGAAATATGCAGTAACCTAACTTTTATACTTTATATTAGTTTAATTTATTTGTTAAATGAAGTTTTATCTACCATTATAAATTTCTTCAAAGTGTAGATGAGCAAACGAAAGAATGAGGATTAAAAAATTAGCGTTTATGAACATTGATTTTTTTTTTGTGAGGGAAAATTGATGATTAGTTTTAATATGACATGAATCACATGACCCTACATCATTTATCAATTCATGACGACACGTGGCAAAAATGATGACACGTGGCATGTTTATAATTCTTGTCTTGGGTTTTCATATATATATATATATATATATATATATATATATATATAGATGACTATGGGCACAATTTGAGCCTTGGTTAATTTTTTTAAATGGACTAAATACTAAAGTCTAGTTGTAACTTGTATTTATATGTTGCCAAACAAACCAAGCCGAGCCTTTAGGAATCTCGAGCTAATAGGTATCATTTTCCTTTTGTTAACCAAATAAGTTTTTCAAAATCATGAATATGAATGAAACCCAATGGATAGGAATATTAAACTTTTTTTTAATGATATTTGGTCAATTTTTTTTCCTATCAAAATGTAATAATATGAAACTACCGGAGATAAAATTAAAAACGGATGAAATTTAAATTAAACAATTTTTTTTACTCGGTACATTATAAAATGCATATATAAATTCAGGTTTATAATGTTGGCTATATTGATTGTTGTTTTTTTTTTTTTTTTTTTTTTTTTTTTTTTTTGGTGCATATGAGGGGCAAGCCCCAAAAGAGAAAGGAAAACCTTAGAACAAGAACTACAAAGAAAAAGAACAGAACGAAACTAAGAAACAGAAAACAGAAGAAACAGAGTAAAAGAGAAACAAAAAAATAAAGGGAACTAGGCCGCTAAGACCAGCATCACAAAGCAGCCTTTATTGCACTTCAAGTAGCTTCGGTTGGAACCATCCTAGCCCTTGTGACTCCCCTCAAGTCCTCCAATAAAACGGTTCGAAGATCCTCCGGGACCGCCTCAAAGATGACTATTTTTTCTGTAGCCGTTACTCCGTAATTAGCTAACCAATCAGTAGCTCGATTAGCTTTTCTGTAGCAGTGACTAATTGGAAGCTCCCAATCTCTTTTAGCAATCAAGGTCTTACATTTACGTAACAAATGAATATAAGGAGAGTTGGCGGGGATAGGATCCACCAACATACGAACAATAACCTCCGAGTCCACCGTAACTTGGATCTTTCGATGTCCTCTATTCCAAGCTAAAACAAGGCCCCTCATGACCGCAATTAGCTCAGCTTTAGTGTTTGAACAAATACCACAATTAGCAGCAAAGCATTCAAAAAGCTCACCTCGATGTCCCCTAATTATACCCCCTGCCTCTGCTGGGCCTGGGTTTCCCCGAGAAGCCACATCTGTATTCAATCGCACCCAATCTTCTCGAGGGGCAATCCATCGAAGCAAGACTTCTGTCCTCTTACGTTTCTTCAAGTTGGAGCCTAGTAAATCTTTCTCAAATGCTCTATGAATATCTCCAACTCTAGCCATTATGAAGCTACATTGATCTAGGGGAATCACCGCGTCTCTTTCAAAAGATCTTTCGTTCCTCCATCGCCAAATCCATCAACAAGTAGTAGCGAAGGTTATGTTCCAGTCATTACCATCGTCCACTTTGTTTGGACTTAGATTGTGCATAATCTAATTCTGAAAATTCAGATTATTCCACTCACCATCATAAGTGCTTCCCATTTTACGCCATACTACTCTAGCTGCTGGACATTCTCTCAGAATGTGATTTGTATTTTCCTCAACATATCCACACAAGTAGCACCGAGGGTCTGTAGTAAGGTGTCGAAGAAATCGATTGGCATTTGTCATGAGTTTATCCTTAAACGCAAGCCACATGAATAACCGAATTCTTTGAGGAGATTTCAGTTTCCAAATATCATTCCACCTAGTAGTATCTTGGGGCTTGACACCATAAGTACGAATGATATTAAGAGCTGACTTCAATGAGAAACCTCCATTAGGCGCCTCATCATCATCAATTAACTCGTGTGAGCTAATTTCTTGGAGGATATTGGCTGGAAGATACTCAGCACAGCGTTCAAATTTCCATCCAATGGCAGGATCCCACATCTCCTCCACTTTACATTCAAGGATTGAGCTTGGAGGGGTAGCTATCACCGACTCTATCAGAGGGATCTTAGTAGCCCATCGTTGATACCAAAAGGGAGTGGATTTTCAATTCCCTACGGCTATATCGATCCCCTTTCGCAAAACATCAATATTATCCACCATCCCTCTCCACACATTGGAAGAATCGACTTTGTGTTTAAACATCTCAACATCGCACCTACCCTTGCAGTATTTGTGCCTGGTTACACGAGCCCAGAGAGAATTTGGTTCAACTAAGACTCTCCACCCAAGTTTAGACAAAAAGGCAGCATTCACTTGTCTCATCAAACGTAAACCAAGACCTCCCTCATTCTTAGGAGTAGCCACCGTGTCCCAAGATACCAAGTGCATTTTTTTCTTTGTCTCAGTGCTACCCCACAAGAAACCACGTATCTTGCTATCAATTTTATCACAAATTCCTCTAGTCACTCGAGTTGTTTGCATAGCATAGTATGGAGTAGTAGACAATGATGATTGCGCTAGAGTTAATCGACCAGCCATCGAAAGCACTTTCGACTTCCACCCAGCAAGTTTGGCATTAATTTTATCTACCAAAAAATGGTAATTTTCCTTTGTTACTCGGCCATTAATGGTTGGAACGCCTAATTATTTTCCAAAGTCATCCGTGTTTTCCATCCCCAACTCCGCACATACTGACTCTCACACATCAAAGCTAGTATTGTTGGAAAAATACACTCGACTTTTTTCAAGACTAATCTTACTACCAGATGCCTCACAGAAGGTGTCCAAACATTTTTTCATACATCTTGCTTGGTCTAGGCTAGCTTCACAAAATAAGATCAAGTCATCTACGAAAGCCAGGTTTGAAATAGGGGGGCCTCCTATACTAGCTCTAGCTGGAATCCAACTTCCCAATCTACATTCTCGATCTATAAGATGCACAGTCTCTCCATACAGATGACATAAAGATATGGAGATAAAGGGTCACCTTGACAGATCCCTCTTGAAGGGGAGAAGAAATCAGTCGGTTCACCATTCCACAAAATGCTCAAATTTGTCGAAGTAATGCACAACATGATAAGATCAATGATTTGTTGAGGCAACCTAAGTTCCAGCAGGGATTCTCTGATAAAAGACCAACGAAGACGATCATAGGCCTTTTCAAAGTCTATCTTAACTGCCATGTACCCTCTTTTCCTTTTCTTTCTTCGCATAGTGTGTAGCATCTCTTGGACTATGACAATGTTATCAGTAATTTGTCTGTTTGGAACAAAGCTACAATGAGTCGGAGAGATCAATTGAGGAAGTAGGGGCTTCAATCGATTGACAAGAACTTTAGTCACCACTTTGTAAATGATATTACAGAGTCCAATTGGTCGAAATTGCTTAGCTTTTTGAGGGATTTCGACCTTCGGTATAAGCACTAGGAAAGCTTCATTGAGACTTGCTGGAAAATTGCGCCCCTCCAAAATATCCATAATGGCTTTATTAACACTCGACTGCACTTTTTCCCAAAATCTTTGGTAAAAAATTGGTTGGAAGTCGTCTGGCCCCGGCGCTTTATAGGGATCCATATGCATCAACGCTGCTTGAATCTCGCAACTGGCAAAGGGTCTGGTCAAGATTTCCCAGTCCGACTTTTCGATTTGTGGGAAATAATCAAGTAGAAGATCTGAGTTATTGCCTTTGTTATCACCTAAAGTAACTTCTTCCGAGAATAAATCTTTCCAGTAATTCATAACTAGATTCTTCACTTCAGCCGGGTCACTAATCCAATTACCCTCACTATCCTGAAAAGTCTCGATTCGATTTCTTCTCCTTCTAATTATGGTGGATAAGTGAAAGTAAGGGTATTACGATCTCCATCGCAAATAGCTTCTGTTCTCAACTTTTGGAACCATAAGAGTTCCTCTTGCTCTAGCACATCATTCATTTTTTTTTTCAAATCAGCTTCTATCAGCAAATGGATAGGAGCACCTCTAGCCATGGCACGCTGAATTCCCTTAAGCCTAGCAAATTGTTCAGATTTTTTGCGAAAAATATTGTGAAACTTCTCTTTGTTCCAGGTACTTAACTCCCCGGCAAAGGTTTTTAAGAAAGGAATGAGAGTCTCACTATTATTCCATTTGTCACATACAAATTCCTCGAAAGTTTCATGCTTGAGCCAAGCAGCTTGAAATCGGAATGGTTTCAACGCCTTGGGAATAGGAGTGAAGCCATTGAGATTAATTAAAATTGGGCAATGGTCCGATGTTATTCGAGTTAAGTTGCGCACAACACCTTCATCGAATCTCAAGCGCAACTCTTCCTTAACCAACGCCCTATCCAATCTAGCTGCTTTGTAAGTAGCTTCTAACAGACCACGACTCCAAGTATGAACAGGGCCTGAGCTTCCAAGGTCGATGAGGTGATTGTCATTCACCCAATCTGAAAAATCCTTACACCGTCTTTCCATCTCCGAACCTCCAACTCCTATTCTCTCACTCATACTCATAGTATCATTGAAGTCTCCCGCCAACATCCAAGGTCTTGTGAATGCTCTACTAATATTCTCCAATTCTCTCCATAGTTCTTTTCTGCTTGTCGAATCTAGGCTAGCATAAATAGCCGAAAAAATCCAAGGATCCTCATCTCTTTTTTTTATTTCTACAGTAATATGTTGAGAGTGATTGTCTAGTACAGTCACTTCAATTATTTCTTCTTTCCATAAAAGCCAAATACCCCCCGCAAAACCTTGAGCATCTACTCTAGATTGACCAGAGAAGCCAATCTTGTCACAAATTTTTTGTGCTTGTTCACCGCTGATATGAGTTTCCACAAGTGCCATAATAGTCGGATCATTGATTCAAATTAATTCCCGAATCGCCGCTAACTTACTTCCAACACCCTGAATATTCCACACCATAACCTTTATCGACATATTAAACATCGGAAATAGGGGGAAGCGATCATAAACATTCAAAGGAATGTTAGGCAGAAGACCTAGGAAAGCGTCTCTCAACGCCCTCATAGGTCCGTCCGTTACAATTGGGAGCACCACTGTCACCAACATCTCTAGAGGATTGTGTCGCGGTGGCAGGAACGAATTCACTTGCATCTCCACTCTGTTTGCTGAGGGGTGAGCTGTGACTACTGTTGGACCATCCATCGGGAAGTCCATTAACGCCACGTAAGATGGAGGAATTCGAGTCTCCAGAGATATTGGGACTCGAAGGGGATGCATGAATAATGTTAGAATTCAAATTCTGCTGATATCTCAACGGGGATGGAGTATGGGATGCAATTGAGAATTCACCCTCGTTAAAATGAGAATCAGAGTTCGAACCAACAGGGGAAACTACAGGGGAAATAAGAAAATCTTTTTCGCCAGACTTGGGAATATCTGGTTCGATATTTTCCTTATTAGTTTTGGTAATTAAGTCATGACTTTTATTAGAAAAAGGACTTTGATTAGGATTACCTAAAATTCTATCAAAAACTTCTTTATGTTTAGCCAAAGTGTTGTCCAAAACTTGTTTCCCACTATTTGAATTTTTTTTCAAAGATATCCCCAAATCAATTGTTGATTCCCTTTCCAAGTCTATCTCCATACCGAGTTGCCCATTGGTTCCCAAGGAATTTTCCTTATGCATCTCATTGCTATCATCTCCTAAAAAAGTTGCCCCCTTGATAACCGAATCTCAATCCATAGTCGAATTCTCAACTGATCCTTCCTTAATTGCAGCCGTAGCATTAGGCTCAATATATCCTCTTCTGTTTCCATATCTTTATCTTGACTCAAAACATTGAACCTTGATCCTTTACCTTGACCTTGCTTGCTTGAACCAGCTGAACCATTAGCACTGACTACAGGCTTTTGCTGAACCACTTTTATTCCTGCTTGGGTCTTAACCCCATTATTCACTCCTTTAGACTTGTTGGGTTCATTCACCTTCTGTTGACCATCTCCCTTAGGGTTAGGAGTAAACTTTCTATTATTTCTTTGGACGAGCATGCATGAACCAAATTGGTCCTTCTCTTCTGGTTTAATCCCCAGATTTTGTTTAGGAGTAGGCTTAGCAATGCGCTGAAGAGATCTTTCACCATTGTCATCAATGACTATTTCAAAAGCACAAACACTTTCTTTATGTCCCAATTTTCCACATTTAAAGCAAATTTGCTTTAGACCTTCATATTGGACTCTCCAAACTCTCCCATTAAGTCTAAACTTTGATAGTAGTGGCTTGGATAAATCAACCTCAATGCTAAATCTAACATATTGACCTCGACTTATATTCTCAGTGTTCTTATCAATACTAATAACTCTTCCAATCTTAGAACCAATAGCATGCAAGAATTTCTTATTAAAGTATTCCAATGATAATTGTGGAATACGAACCCAAGCAGTCAAGAATTTGATGGGAGCTTCGTTTGCCACAAAGTTTGGTACCCATTTCCGGATTGTGAGATAGCTGTCTCCTATAATCCAAGGCCCTTGAGTGAGCACATGATGATGATCTTCCATATTGGTGAATCTGACTACATAGTAATCAAACCCAACATCAGTTAATGATATATCCCCTTAAGGCACCATTTGATTCTCAATCTTTTGATGAAAACCTCATAGCTGAACTTTTTATCAAATAGTTTGATAATAAGAGCATTTTTCCAAGGCAAACGTAGCCTTCTCTTCTCCTCTTTTGTGAGTAAAAAATTAGGGCACGCTTCATCATCAGAATCTCAGTCCAGAGGAACATCATCATCCGATTCCCAATCCTCTACCATGTGAGCTTCTTCGGAGCTATTACCAGCCACACTCAGTGGCGGATTCAGGATTTCTGAGATAGTGTGTCACCATCAATTATTGATCATTTGTGAAAGTACAATTTTTTTTTCCATGTCTTGTTCATAATTAATTTCAATCCAAAACTTATATATATAAACTTATATATATAAATAACTGGTCTCTTTAATGAAAAAGAAAGTAACGCAAAAAAATTGTGAAATGCAATAGCAGCATCAAAGAGACCTCTTATATAAATAACAGGTCTCTTTAATATATAAAAAAACACACCAAGCCTTTTGTAGCAATAGCAGCATCAAAGAGATCTCCTATCTTAATAAGCGTCTCTTTAATATTGTTTGTTGTTACCACTAGCAGCATCAAAGAGACCCCCTATCTATAATAAGGGGTCTCTTTGATATTTTATTTTTTAAAAAAAATACTGTGTCACCGGACCCACTATGACTAAAGGTGGGTCCGCCCCTGGCCACACTATTACCCTTCCCAGTCATGACCCTATATGAAGGTCTTGGTTCCAATGGTGGTTTCTCCACCATCATTTCAGCCGTCTCAGGGACTATTTCATTCTCCATATCATGCATTTGATAATCAACATGATTATTTGAAGAATTCTCAGGGGTTCTTTTGAATTTTTTATTGGATCTAGACATTTGTTCTTTCTCTTCGCTCGAAAGTTCTTTCGCTCTCCGTTCGCTCTCCATTTCTATGTATTTCTTAAATTCTAGTGGAGGGGTCTAATTGCTAATTGTAAAGTATATTGATTGTTATCATTATTCTTTTGTTCTTCGTATATATTAGAAATTAGGCAGAAACCAGCTTAAGCATTATGAAAAATCTAAGCTCAAATTTTATAATAAGATAAGAGATTGTTAAAAAAAAAAAAAAAGAGAGATGATAAAGATTAAAAAAACATAAAGCTTTGTGTATTTCATACATTTTTTTATAGCGGAAAATATAAATATGTAATACATAAATACTTGGAAATTAATAGAAAAAAAGAAAAATAATGATATTTTTGTCAAAGAATTAACTATTAGTAGGAAGATTCTCCTAAGAATAATAATTTTAAATTTCTCAATGAAAATTACTAGTAGAACAAATAAATATATAAAATAACAATATGGAGTAATGATATTATTCATACTTTGTGTAGTATGAAGTACAAAATTATCATATTTAAAATTAGCGCGTTTTCAGTGTAGATAACTGACGTAAATCAAACCAATAACTAGATTACCTCTGACCGATTGAGTAACTCATGACCGAGTAACCATAATAAAATATAATTTGACCGACCGAATAACCCCCTAGCTAGCTTAGATAAGTAACCTCGGGACCCCGGCCACATAGTGTGGTCAGCCACAACATATATGAAGTTTTGTACTCCCTCCGTGTTTTTTTTAAGTGTTACACTTCCCATTTCCGGCCGCGTTTTTTTAAGTGTTACACTTTTTTTTTTGGCAAAAGGCTACATTAAAATATTATGTCTCTGTCCTCTCATGGTACACACCCAAACCCACGACTACTTTTTTTATTATATCTTTCTTCTCACATTCATTACTTTTCAACAAACTATTAACCATACTATCTTTCTTTTACAATTTTTTAATGCTCCAAGCCCACTTACCTTTTATTTTATTTATGTCAACTAAATTGCCTAAAACTATGTGTCGATCAAACTGTAACACTTAAAAAACACACGGATGGAGTAATTAATAATTTAAAGAAATAAAATATAATGTATTACGATGCTAATAAAGGTATGATATATATATATATATATATTTGTTTTTTCCACTTAAAAATTAAATAGACTAAAATAAATAACAACATCACAACATAAAGTGAATATCAATCAATATCATCGACTATTTGCAATATATAATAAAAAATATTACAATATAGATCAATAAAATAGTTCGATTACAACATATAAATACAAAAAAAAATTACAATATAAATTAAAAAAAATTACAATATAAATAAAAAAAAAAAAACCCCCCATCACATCTAAATCAATATTCTTGTATCTTGCTTCTTCGATTTCAGATCTAAATAACATACCTGCACCATTTAAAACAAAAAAAAAATCGATTAGGAAATTTTGCATTAAACCACCTTTTATAACCATATTTTTGCAGGACACCACCTTATAAATTTTTTTTTGCAAAATCACACCTTAATCCAATTTTTTTTTTTTGCAAGGCCACACCTTTGGCCGAAAAACAGAGTTTGACCTTGTATTCCGGGGTTGACCCGACCACGTGCCTCGCACGTGACACCCTAAAACCATGCACTAACCAATTTTCAGGCGGCCAACTACTTTCCACAGCCAACCCAAAACCCGGCCAACCAATTTTCCCCACCCGCTGCCAACCCTGCTTGCTGCCGGCACCGGCGACCACCTCCATACCCCGGTGCCGGTGATCCTGCTCCCTTCCCTTTCCCCCAACCCACGAATTCTCTCTCCTCCTCTTCCACATAACCACCATCACATCCTTCACTCTCACCATTCGAACCCTGAGTTCCACCTACCACTACCCACTTTCTTAAACCGCCACCCACGAATTCTCTCTCCTCCTCTTCCACCTAAAGCGCCGTCGTTCGATTTATTGACCTAGACCCAAACTCCATCCTCCGTTCGTCAACCTCCATAGATGTTGCGCTTCACAAAGGTACGGGAATGGGTTTGGGAATTGGGTTTAGGGCTTGAAGGGTGGGTTTAAGGACGGGAATGCGGTCGCTGGCGACAAATGGGGGAGGTGGTCTCCAACCACTTGAAGGTGGAGGGGGCTGGGCCGGGGGGAAAAGGGAGAATTAGTGGTTTTGGGGGGTCATGTGCAAATCACGTGGTCGAGTCAACCCCGGAAAATAAGGTCAAATTCTATTTTCCGGGGAAAGGTGTGGCCTTGCAAAAAAAATTCAGATTAAGGTGTGTTTTTGCGAAAAAAAAATTATAAGGTGGTTACCTGCAAAAAAGTGGTTATAAAAGGTGGTTTAATGCAAAATTTCCAATCGATTAATATAATTAAGCTTCTAAAAAA